ACAAGAAACAATGGATGGAAACTAATAGAAGCAACCTAGACTAAAGAGAAATTTCCTGACACTAAGAAGAATTAACCAGTGGAACTGCTTGCATTCAGACGTTGTGGGTGCTCCATCACTGGAGACTTGTAAGAAGAGACTGGACAGTCACTTGTCTGAAATGTTATAATATCTACTGCTTGAGCAGGGGGTTGGAATAGAAGACCTCCAAGGTCCCCTCCAACTCTATTATTCTGTACATAACTAAAAAGTATCTTGGTTTAATTGTAGAATCCTAGATAATCACATATTGTTCTAAAAATCTAAGGCTCAGTTTTATTTGAGCCCTATTCCTAAATCTTAGGGGCTTTAAGATGACTCTATCTGTACCTGCAGTTTTGAATGGAAAAGTACTCTCAGACCAGCATTCAGACATTCAGGTAGCAACACAGAGTAAGGAATACCTTTCTTAGCATTCTCCAGCATTTCCAACTGTGTTCTTGAAGTAAAAGATATTTGAATACAACCATGAGTGGGGAAGATTTAAGTGTTTCATTGCTCTAATGATTATACATGAAGCACATTCTAAAGAAGAATCTGAATCTGAAGAATGGCATGGTTTTGCATGCGAGAGCACAGACAGTGATGCATAGTGCAAGTGAATATTTCAAACTGTTTTGTCTAACTAGGGTCAATATAGCCATCCCTTAAAAAGAGAAAAATGCTAAGGAGAAGGTACAGCCTGTTAACAATTTTACACCATGAAAGTTTGTTCTTTTTTTCAAGAAATTTCTGGCAAGAATCTGTATTAGTGAGGCTCAAATTACAGCTGTGGGAAATCAAAACACCGTACAGCATGGATATAACAGAATACAATTAAGCTTCTGTGCAGAGCACAGATGAAGGGATAGAGCAATTTTTTGATTTTTAAGCATGGTCACTCAATTTGTGGTTTTTTGAGGCCATAAAGAAAAAGATTCACTGCCTTTTTAAGACCACAGATAATCCTCACTGCCAGTACTGTGCTTAATTATCCTCATTGAGATGAGCAATGGAAGGAATTGCTACATCTTTTTAAAGAGTAAGTGATGTCCTATGGTAGAATGTAGTCCTGACTGAAGAACTGAAGTCAGAACTGAAGAAGCTTCTTGGATGAGTAGCAAAACGTCTTCAAGGAAAAACAAAGTCCAGTTGCCTTTTGAAAAAAGCACCTTTGGGACAACCATAAACTGGATGACTGAGAATCTCCATAGACACAGGAGGGAGGGGCTGATTTCCAGAGGGCAAAGTGATAGCAGAGCTTGGAATCTCTGGTAGACAGGAGATTCCCCTAGCAATTCATGCAGTATATCTAATTATCTCAGCAGATTTTCTTGATGTATGTGGTTTAGATCAGGGATCCCCAACCCCCGGGCCGTGGACCAGTACTAGGCCATGGCATGCCAGCAATCGGCCCGCACAAACAAGGAAAGCCCCATCCATAGGATGCAGGCAGCACACAAAACCACACCCCCTCCAGTCTGTGGAAAAACCTCTCTCCGTGTAACCGGTCCCTGGTGCCCAAAAGGTTGGGGACCTCTGGTTTAGATAGAAGATAGAAAGACATGCACATGGATTGGAGAACAAACAAAAGTATATAATATCATCAAAAGAATAAAAGAATTGAAATGGAAATGAGCTGATCACTTAGCAAGAAGAACTGAAGACAGGTAAACCAAGGCAGTCTTAGAATGGATTCCGTTTGATAAAAAGCATCCACGAAAGAGATGGCCACAAGATGGATCAATGACATCAGCAAGTATTGTGTACCCAACTGACAAAAGAAAGTTGAGGATCATATTGCTTGGAAACATGCGGAAGAGGCCTTCATCCTGTAGTGCAGAGGTCCCCAACCTTTTGGGCAGCAGGGACCAGTTCCATGGAGAGAGATTTTTCCACGGACCAGAAGGTACATGGTTTTCTGTACTGCCTGCATCTCCCGGATGAGTTTTGCTTGTTTGTGCAGACTGGTTGCTGGCATGCCATGGCCTGGTACTGGTCCATGGACCAGGGGTTGGGGACCTCTGCTGTAATGGATAGACAGTGGCTAAAATGATGATCTAATAGTTTTGCATATTTTTGTTTTAGTCTGACAAGATTCTATCTATAGGTGAACAGCAATAAAGAATTACTCAGAAATAACCCCATATGTCATTCTTCCTTCATAATAAATATATTCTAAGAATTGCAAGGGGGGATTGCCTTTGCTTCCCTGATAGTCTAGGACTAGGTTCAAGACCCGAACACTGCATGATGGGTTGAGTTTCCATTCATTGTCCCAGCTCCTGCCAACCTACGGTAGCAGTTTGAAAGCATGCAAATACAAGTAAATAAATAGGTACCATTTTGGTGGGAAAGGAGCAGTGTTTGTGTGCCTCAGCATATAGTCATGCTGGTCACATGACCACAGAAAGACAATGCTGGCTCCCTTGGCTAAGAAACGGAGAAGAGTACCACCCCCTAGAGTCAAACATGATTGGACAGGGGAAATCTTTACCTTTTTAAAAAAAAACTCTTCCTCCCTACCATAGATTCCAAACACTCTGCTACCTCTTTGCTCTCTGGGAAACAGCCCCTCCCTTCTGCAACTCCGGACTACATTCCATCATATGGCCATACTCATCTTCTTTGACCATTTGATTACATTTTTAAAAATTATGCCCAGTAAAAGACATTTTCAACTCTTACTAGAATTTATGGGAGATTGATGGATAATAATTTATAGTACAAAATCATATGTCCCAAGCTGTCAAACAAAAGGGGCGATGTATCATGTGGGAGGGTAGAAAACATTTTCTTGATCTGATTGGGCATTTTTAAGAGTGCTCTTTTTCAGAAAGCAGAAATGTGAGGCAAAAATGATTTAATTTTCTTGTGTTGGGAATTAGATATCTAAGATGGTTGAGCTGTTATAACTGCGAAATTAGCAATGCTTACGCAATTGCTCCTAAATTATATTATGATCTGCTCACCCATCACATATGGTAACTTATTATCAAAAGATTCTGTGAATTTCTGGTGCAGTTTCTTCCAAAGAGGAAAACAGATTTTGATAAAAAAAAAAATCCAATACTTTTCTTAGCATTCACCCATTGGATTTTAAAGGTATCAAAGAGATCTGTTCATCTCATATTCATAAATGCTTAGCTTGAGAAATATGTTTGAAGATAATAGAAATACACAAATAGACACTGCTCACCATTACTATCCATCACTAAGAAAAACCAAAGACCACCCAAAAGTTCACTATTGGCCAGCAAGATATACAACCAATAAGTCTCATAACATTTTGCAGAAAATCTGATATCCCAGGCATCATTTGATAGCAATAAATCATTCAATACTCTCTACTGAGTATACAACTAAGCAAAATCAGCAATCAGCCCAGAGCAGCAGCTAAGAAATAAGACAGTTGGACATTTCTGTCTATAAAGAAACCATACACCAGATATGAGTTTTGTCAGGATGTTCTAGAATTTAGATACATAAGTAGACTCTAGACCAGTTAAATGTAGTTCCCAAGCTATAACCATTTGCTTAGTGACTGTTCAAAGTTACAACAGCACTGAAAAAAGTGACTTATGATTGTTTTTCACATTTATGATCTTTGCAGCATCCCCATGGTCACAAGATCAAAATTTAGACGCTTGGCAACTAACTCACATTTATGATGGCTGCAGTGTCCTGTGGTCATGTGATCACCTTACGTGACCTTCTGACAAGCAAAGCCAATGGGGAAGACAGATTCACTCAACAACCACATTACTAACTTAACAACTGTAGTGATTCACTTAAAAACTGTGGCAAGGAAGGTTGTAAAATGGGACAAAACTCATTTAACAACTGTCTTGTTTAACAACAGATATTTTGGGCTCAATTGTGGTTGTAAGTCGAGGACTACCTGTAATGTCATTTGGTTTTTGTACACAATGGTTCCAAATTTGATTTTTGAAAGTGGAGGAGGGGGCACGTTTGTACCAGTTATTCACCTAATATAATTAAACTCTTCAGCCTTGGAACTAAAAGACAATTGAATGATAATAGGAGAAATCTGAAATTGTTAAAATACATTGTGTCAGTTCAATCTAGGAATGAGAGGGCTGCCAATTTTGAATATGGTACATCAAGAAGCATGGTTCCAACTCAGCTCACTTCTAATTTGTTGATTATATATCAACAATAAAAATAAAATCACTTTAAAGATCTTATTTAAAGAAATGTGAATAGGCTAGAAGGCAAGGATCAGATAATAATAATAATAATAATAATAATAATAATAATAATAATAATAATAATTGCTTGGGCGCAATCCCAAAACAACTGGAGCACCACTTGAACACCATTGGCATTGACAAATTTGCTATTAGTCAATTGCAAAAGGCGGCCTTATTAGGAACTGCTTCCATCCTGCGACGATACCTGTAATACCATCAAACATCCACATCTGCCTATCCCAGGTCCTGGGTAAGGACTCGATAGGTAGATAAAATGCCAAATCCAGTCTGAACATCTGGCTGACTGTGCGATGATTGAGAATAATAATAATAATAATAATAATAATAATAATATCTGATCCTTGCCTTCTAGCCTATTCACATTTCTAGACTGGATCACCCCATTGCTCACTTTTTCCCTACGGTCAAATTTCTAGCAACAACCATGTAGCTTAGATCAGTAGTTCTCAACCTGTGGGTTGGGACCTCATTTGGGGTTGAACAACCATTTCATGGGGGTCGCCAAGCAAGGCTGTCCGCCATTTTTCCCCCTTTTCTTTGGCCATGCCCCTGGCACCCGGTGATGTATAAGTGGTTGGGGGTCACCACAACATGGGGAACTGTATTATAGGGTCACGGTATTAGAAAGGTTGAGAACCACTGGCTTAGATCAACCTTTTAATAAAAAAATAGAAAACTGTTAGTAAGAAAAGGTATGTTAGCAATATCATACTTTTGGAAAAATTGAAGGGTGAAAGATGTTGTTACCTTATAGATATCTAGGAATCCACATTGGTGGTCAAATCTGGTGTAAAGCTCATTGAGCATACTGATCACTTGCATGGGTGTACACTGGGCACAGACAGCAGTGAAGCCAACAATGTCTGAAAAGAGCATTGTAACATCATCAAATTTTCTGGCTTGAACTTGCTGCCCCTGCCAGAGCTGCTGGGCCACTTCTTCTGGGAAGATTGAGATAAGAAGATCCACTGTTTTCTTCTTCTCCTCTTCTAGAGCTTGGTGCGTTCGTTCTAATGTTGCTTTAAGCTTGTCCATCCTCTTCTTCAAGCCATCCTGGGCTTTAGCCTGCTCCCCGACAAGGATGACATCACGGGTAGCATCGTGAATTGGTATGTCTGAAAGGTGGAGGCCTCGACCCATCAGTTCATCCAACTTGTCCACACATGGTGAGCCCAAAAACAAAATACAGTTTGATTCTGGGACGTGGATCATTTGTCCTTTGATTTCCATGACCTGGAATGAAGAAACATTTAATAATGCAGAATTAGACTCTTAAAGCAAACATTTAAAGCTATCAAAGCAGCAGTCATTTGCTCTCACACAGTGTTTCTCAACCTTGACAATTTTAAGGCATGTGGACTTCAACTCCTAGAATTCCACAGCCAGCAATGTTGAAGTCCACATGCCTTAAAATTGTCAAGGTTGAGAAACACTGCCTAACAAATGATTTTCTGTGCATTCTTTGCATACATTTTTTTTTCATTAATATGAATATCAATTGAATTGTTCAAATAACTTGTTTATTATACATCCATTTTGGAATATATATTTATGCATTCATATTTGATCTGATTTGATTTTAGCGTTGCCCAAATCCAGACTGGCTCTGGATGGCTTATAAATCCTCTGCTATGTAATGCTGATAAATATATAAAAAGTATATAACCATGGGAGACAAGAAATTAACTATGCCCACAGAGGAAAAAAAAGGCCAACAGGTGTCTTCTTCAAGCAAAACCTGTCAATTAATTGATACAGTAGTGGAATCCCTGAACACTTCACACATTGTTTCATGCGTAAACCATATCTAAGCTATTTGACATCTGGCTTGGCTCAGGAGCTAGGAAAAAGAAATTTTCTCAGCAACTCTTTATTTTGTTTAAATCACTTAATCTGGCAGTTTCTGCCCTTGCCTGCTAAGAGAAAATATGTGCTGTCAAATATAGTGATATACAGCAATTTAAAGAAAGTTAAATAAAGCTCAGAGTTTCAACTAAGCAAGGGGATTATTTTTCAGTCATGAGAGGATCCAGGCAAACTATTCCTAATTTTTCCCCCAACTATATTTATTTCTGAAGGTTCTTGTTTTGCTTCTTTGGCCCAAACCAGCAGAAATTGACTTAAATATGCTTGTATTTGTATTGCAATAATAATGAGTGAACAGCCTTGAGTAAAATATAGACATCATTCCAAGAGTCCATGAGTAACATTTGATATAACCATGTCCAAATTTATAATGCATATAAAATTCTCCTTTCTCTTAAATTCTCTTTTTTTTTGGGGGGGGGGAGAAGCTTTTAGATACTTATTTGTTATGTCATTACCTAACAATGCACAAATAGTCTGACATTTAGGCAAAGCACCATAAAATAGCTTCATTTGCAAAGAAGTAACCAGTATACATGATGCAGGAAAGTAAAACTCGGAACTTAAATGCATTCCAAGTAGCATTTTCTCAGTAAAATTGACATTTAAATAAATTGGTATTATCAAAACTATGGGAAAATTGGAAATCATCTAAGCAATATGATATTCCTTTATCTCCAAGCTGATGTCTTAAATTACCAGACCACTTAAAGTATGGAGGTTATTCTAACATTGTGCAATGAAAAAGTCCATGGACACCGGGATGCTGATGTAACAATGGATTTGTTTATCAAAAGTTGTACTTTTATTATCATTTTATTATCATTCTACAACAACTTTTCTAAAATGTACACTTATTTGAAAAGAAGGAGAGATCCATGCCAACTGCTATCATTTGCTTGTTTTTATAAGTTACAAGCCAGGAAATTCTAAACTTGCTGCTAATTAAGAGTAATTCATAGTCCTGATTAAGTTGAGGGGAAAAGAAAACTAAGGAGTCATAATGAAGCTCAACCTCTATCCTCCCCAAGAAGAATGTTATAATGAAAACAAGACAAACTTGGTCCCTTTGCTTGGCCAGAAACATGCAACTTTTTCATTACTTTCTTTTATTTTCTTGCCTCATTCCTAGAAAAATGTCAGCACTTTATATGTGAATATTACCAACAGTTAAGGATTGCTATTGTTATTAATGGAGCTGATTAAGATTTACAGTATAGATAATTAATACCAATTCTTGAAGTCTGTTTACTCCTGTTTCCCCTCAAATAACAACTGTAAAGGGACTTAAGAGGCTTCCTTGAATACCATCTAGCTGTTTGTTCCCATCTAAGAAGGGAATGGCATTAAACTTATGAGTATCAAGTTTAAAATGATCAGCTCATTTTTATAAGCATACTGCTTCATATATAACATGTAAAGAAAAGAGGTTTCTGTTTCTTATTCAAGAAAACAAATGTGTATGGACATTTGTTAAAAATGATTAAAAAATGATTCCAGTCCCATAGATAAGATAGACAAATAAATGACAGATGATGATTGATAGACAGACAGACAGACAGACAGACAGACAGACAGACATTTTCCTTCCATTCAATTACATTCGATTCTCTGGCACTGCCTGGACAAGTCCCTGAAGTTTTCTTGGCAAGGTTTCTAAGATGTGGTTTGCCATTGCCTCATTTCTAAAGCTGAGAGAAAGTGATTGGCTCAAGGTCATCCTGATGGCTTTGTGCCTAAACTGGGATTAGAACTCCTGGTCTCCCAGTTTCAAGCCTAATGCCTTAACCACTATACCAAACTCCATAGAGGAGAGAGCCTTTTTCCTAGAAAGTTGTAATTTAATTTCATGGCCACTCCCTTGTTCTTTGTGTTTTCCTATGTGCTACCCAAAATCTACTGTTATAGTTATTACTTTTAAAATACACACTATTATTTTTAAAATACACACTACTGCAAAGCTCAGCTATCAGAAGACCCCTTCACAAAGATGGACTGCAGATGTAACCAACGACATAGGATCATAACATCCTAGAAGAGGAAAGGGCTACTTAGGCCACTGAGTCCTATTCTCACTCAATCCAAGAATTCAAACTGAAATATCTTACCTCTAGGTTAGGTCTTATTTTCGGGAAAATTTACGGTACTAAATGTGTCTGTCTGCTGACGATCTTAACTGGGGCTTGTTTTTGGCTTATATTAAAAGCATCCCGAAAAATCATGCTGAGGCTTATTTTCCAGTTGGGTTTTATTTTCAGGGAAACATGGGAGCAGCTTACAAAACAATAATAAAATATAAAAAATGATAAAAGCCTTCCTATACTATACTTCCATGTCAGAAGACCAAAGAGTTCCGTGTTGAAATGATTAACAAGTGACATCACCCTCCTGGGGATGCCAATTTGGGGACTCCCTCCTGGGGATGCCAAGTCCATTGAAGTGGTACCTATTTATCTACTTGCATTTGCATGTTTTCAAACTGCTAGGTTGGCAGGAACTGGAGTGAATGATAGAAGCTCATCCTGTCACACACCAGTATTCAGGCTTCAAACATGGGCTTGCAAATTATCAACCAGAGTCCTAATCAGCTTGTAAGACGCTAAGAAAAAGACACAGGCATGTCTTGAGCAGAGGTTTGAAGCTGCAGGACCCAGCTTGACAAACTCTGTGAGTTTATTGGTTTTTATATTCTTGTTACATACACAAGCTTAACCATTAGATGCTGACATAAAGTTTCTTCATTGGAAAATTCCTTCATATAAGCAACTATTTCCTAGTAACACATTACATGGTCAAAGACCAGGTAAAGAACAAATACAGGCAGATCAAAGGAGAAAGAACTAACAAAGACAGGAAAAGATAGGAAGGAACTAAGCATATTATCTGTTTAGGTAGGTGAGGCATTAAGTCAAAAGGGGATGACCTTCTGGCTGCTTCACTGGGACAAAGGGTATCAAAAGGTTATGATGTTTGTGGGGGGGAAGCACAGCAGTTTGCTATGCGTGTATTTTTGCCCACATCAGCTGAGCCAATCTTCCTATAACTTAAATGTATTATTTTATGCCCTGTATTCAAAAAAAGACAAGAGTACAGATTTTGAGTACTTTCAATGTGACATCATCAGGTATTTTAAGATTGCCATCATCTTTGTTCTCTCCTTCTCAAAGCTAAACATTTCCAATTTTGTCTTTTTAATAAGATGTCTTCTGGGTAATGCTATATGAACTAATAAATATGCACTGACTTTTCTTTTCCTATACTACTTATGTTTTTAATAAATACTGATAGCATCATAAATATATGAGTATGGATTACTGTAGCATGTTTATGGTGTCACAAACCTGTATCACAAGTTTTGTTTAATATTCAAAATTAAAAAGGGAAGTACAGTCTAGGGAATGAGAGTATAATGATAAAGACCCAGCATGTAATAATACCAATAATGTCCTGGTTTTCTATTAAAAGTACCAGAACAGCTTGTTTCCATGCATTATAAAATCAACAGCAGAACAAGCACATCATCCATATTTTTTTCTACAAAAGAATATATTATATAGCCAGCATTTTGTTTTCCACTTTTGAGCTGTTAGTAAATGTCTGAATATTCAGCCTGCTGGTTTTAACCTGCTGCTTTGGATTTGGTTTTCATCTGGTATTGTCTTGAACTGTTTGTTTTACGATTATTGCTTCTAATTATTTTTTGTAAAGTTTCATTCTGGGCAATCACTGTGTATATTCACAAACAGAAAAGCAAATCAAAATCAGGCTCTGAAACTGTTAGGAACATATTGTTTCTAATTATGCCGGAAGGCACATGTTATAGTCTACACCTTCTTGGATTCCTTTCATTCTCCACATTATTCACATGAGCTCCTTAAAAAGGGTGGAAAAACTTGTGGGCGGGATCTAGATATAGCTACCCATTTCTTTCCCTGAGACCAAAATATGGGGAAATAAGAGGAGAATGCAACCCAAAACGTGGCATTGGTCAATCTATTTGTCAGTCTTAGGAGGTAGTTCAAACAAATACTGGTCGCTAAAAAGCGAGACAATGGTGAAGCGGGCACAGCAGCACCTGCATTTTCTGCGTCTCATGAGAAAAGCACATCTTCCTTCCCCTGTCCTTACCACTTTCTACAGAGGGGCGATCAAGAGCATCCTATCATACAGCATCACAGTCCAGTTTGGAAGCATCACTGCTTCAGAAAAATGACAATAAAGGTTATCTTATCTTATCTTAACTGAGCCTACAGAAGACCAGCTCTATCTTTATTGTAAGCCTCCAAGAGCAGAATCTGCAAGTCTGAATGGATATCTCCCCCCCCCACTTGCTTTTAATGTCTAATAAAATAAGAAGGATCCCTTCT